ACCAACAAGAAACTACCCAACAATCTTAAAACCTTATTTCTGTTTCCTGTTGATTGTGTTCTATCTCTAATTTCCGTGAAGAAATAGAGAATCCCGCACTGGCTAATCTAGGGGAGGAGAATGTTGTTGAGAACAACAGTGGTGGGAATGGCAACAACGTTGCAAATTCCCAATCACCACTAGTGAACGTTGGTTCACAAGAGGGTGGGAGCAACGCGGGATACATCCCTACGATGCGGGTACCTACAGTACCAAGTGGTTCGGCTGAAAGACCGGAGAAGTTCACTGGTAGTGGATCGAACTTTAAGAGGTGGCAACAAAAAATGTTGTTCTACCTGGAAACTCTCGGCTTGGCAAGGTTCTTGACCGAGAATGTTCTGGAGTTAAAGGAACAAGATGCCCAATCCGTGATGGCGGTTGGCTATTGGAAGGATTCTGACTTCCTTTGCCGAAACTACATCCTAAACGGGTTATGTGATGTGTTATACGATGTATATCGTAAAATTGGCACAACGAAAGCGTTGTGGAAAGCCTTGGATCATAAATACTGAAGTGAGGATGCCGGCTCAAAGAAATTTGTGGTTGGCCGATTCCTCGACTTCAAAATGGTTGATTCCAAAACCATGCTAAGTCAGGTAGAAGATTTGCAACTAATCATCGACGAAATCCGTGATGAGGGCATGGTGCTAAGTGAAGCCTTCCAAGTCGGATCCGTGATCCACTTGTTGCCTCCAGGTTGGAAGGATTTCAAGAATTACCTTAAGCATAAGCGGAATGAGATGAATCTGGAGGACCTGATCCAGCGACTCAGAATTGAGGATGGGAATAGGAAGAATGACGGGAGATGTCCCATCATTGATGGCGCTAAGGCCAATGTTGTGGAGCACGGTAAAAGCTCTAAGAAGAACAAGAAGGACAAGCGAAAGCTAGGTCCGAATGGAGGCATTACCAAGAAAAGGTTTCATGGTAAATGCTTCAATTGTGGCAAGCCTGGCCACAATTCTTCTGAATGCAAAGCTCCAAGGAAGAAGAACAAGAGTTCTAAAGCCAACATTGTTGGAGAAGGCAATCAGAAGGATGCCGAAATCAGCCTTTCGGCCATGGTGACCGAAGTGAACCTCGTGGGCTCTAACCCACGTGAGTGGTTCATCGATACCGGTGCAACCAGGCATTTATGTTGCAACCGAGAGATGTTCAACACCTTTGAGACCGTTGAGGGTGAAAAGGTGTGGATGGGAAACTCTGCTCAGTCTGCTGTGGAAAGCATGGGCAAAGTGGTTCTGAAGATGACTTCCGGGAAGGAACTAATGTTGAACAACGTGCTATATGTTCCACATGGTGTTCGAGTCAAACAAGGTTGTTTTGTCTAAGTTAGGAATGTTTGTTGGTAAAGGTTATGTAACTGATGGGCTTTTCAAGCTCAATGCAATGCCTGTTATCAATAAAAGCAAAGTTAATTATGTTTACTTGGTTGAGTCTTCAAATTTGTGGCATGGTAGACTAGGTCATGTTAATTTCAACTCTATACGTAGATTAATTAACATTAACCATATTCCTAATTTTCAGATAAACACAAATAACAAGTGTGAAATTTGTGTTGAGGCAAAACTAACGAAAATACCTTTCAAATCGATTGAAAGGGAAACTGAACCACTAGAATTAATCCATAGTGATTTGTGCGATTTTAGATCGATTCAAACAAGAGGTGGTAATAAGTATTTTATCACGTTTATCGATGATAGCACACGTTATTGCTATGTGTATTTGCTTAAGAGCAAAGATGAAGTCGTTGATAAATTCGTTCTTTATAAGAATGAAGTGGAAACCCAACTTAATCGGAGAATTATGAAGGTTAGAAGCGATAGAGGTGGTGAGTACGAAGCACCGATTGGTGACTTCTGTGCAAGTGTAGGTATAATACACGAGTGTACTGCACCTTACGCACCTCAATCGAACGGTGTTGCCGAACGAAAGAATCGTACAATGAAAGATATGATTAATGTGATGCTTATAAGTTCGGGTCTACCTCAAGGTATGTGGGGTGAGGTGGCGAGCTGTCGTAGGCTCCCAAATTAAAACCTTACAAACATAGTAGCGGGAGTAAGGATCGATCTCACGATGAGTAACTAGTTTAACTTTTGTGCTTAAGGAAACAATGGGGGATTTGGAATATAACGAGAATAAAGATTAAATAAATGAGAATTTAAATAAACAAGAAATTTAAATGAACGAATAAAGCAATGAAAATAATATATTGAAAGCACTTATAATAGAAAACCTTGGTTAGTAAAGATCCACCACCGGAATTTAACACTGATCATTGATTCAAAAAGTAATTAATATGCAATTGAATATTTGTTGTGAAATTATTTCATTTCTGTTTTCCCTTAGTTGTAGATAACTAAAGCACACGCGGTTTAATTACCCCTAACTACTAAATAATCTAAGACAAGCGCTATAGATTTAATTTAATAGCAGCAATAGGAACTAGGAAAACCGACAAACTAAATAACACAAGCACAAGCGGTTGCATTTAATTTAGGAAAATATTATACCCGAGTCAATTATCACTAAGCCGTCAATAATTAACCCAGTTGCTACTGAATATTAGAATAATTTGTAGCACAACATTATCTAATATAGCAAATAGTTATATCAAATAAATAACTAGTAGGCCTCCCTAGCAATTAAATGATACAACTATTTAAATAACTTAGAAGAATATTTAATACCCAAATACATAAAAATTATATAATAAAAATAAATAAATAATCTTACAGCATAATCAATTCCGGGGCTTCAATTCACTAAACCGAGCTAAAGAAATTAGCAACGAATGGACATTGATAACAACTTTAAAGAATAATCGAGAAGGAAAGAATGAACATTTTACAATAGAAAAACTTCTACTATTTATACTACTCCTAAAATAAACTCAAATGAACGTCCACTGTTGGTACCGTTGGTAGAAAACAAATAATAATCAAATAAAAAATTGACTATTATTTTCTGGAAAGAGGGGAAGAAAAATTGAAGAAATTGGCTAGTGTTTGGTGTTGGGTTTTTGCAAGAGTCGAGTGAGCACTCTCTCCTTAAAACCTTATTTGCCACCTCCCAAAGATGCTAGGAGCGTTGTGGCTTAGGCTTCCCATGATAAAACTTGCTAATGATTCAATGTTTGAGCACTCAAACAAGGAATCCGGCGAGCAAGACAATGGCTATGAACACAGTAGGCCAAGAAAGAGTAGAAGCAGAGAGGTTTTGAGGTTGGAAAACAAAAGTTTCGTGCAGTGTTCTTGCTGTTCTCACAGTGTGTAAAACTCTACTGCCTCTACCCTCTCTTATATAGGGTTGAAGGAACCAATAGCCTTTATTATGGCAATTTAAAATGACATTAAAGCTGCCTTCCAACAGCTATAACAGCAGGCCACTACCTGGGAATTGAATTCAGAATTCAAAATTGGAATTAATAGACAATTAATTCGGTAACAGATGAATTCAACCCTCAACAGTCAGAACTTTCGGGTTCCAGACCGTTAGCGTACAGGGTCGTGCTCTCTTGTAGCACGAGAATAGGTGCTCTCGGTTCGGTTCTGGCCGAACCAAGAGTTTGGCATAACTTAGCCCACAAGGCCAGCCAATTTCCGAACGACATTCGTGCCCCCAGGTGCCGGCGCACACGAGCTCGGGCTTGAATCAAGCCTCTTTGTTGGAATTTGATTTGCAATCCCCCCCCCCCCCCCCGCGCGAGAGAGCCTCTATGCTATACAATTCTACAAGCTTCAAAAGAGCTCTTGTATATAAGGGGGGAAAATCTTCATTCCAAAGCAATGTGGGACAAAAAGCTCACTTTTTCCCTTCATTTTCCAACTCAAATGGGTCTACTTTGAGAATCAATATCTCATTCACCCATTATCCGTTTTGAGCGTACAATATATCGATCTCTTCGTCTCACTACGAAGAATCCGAATCGACTTTAACCCGACCCAAATCGGAAGTGGACCCCACTGATAATTGTACCACAAAATAGTCACTTAACATGCCATTTTATGCCATTTTAAGCTATTTTTCCAACATCCACCGCCCATTTCCTCTTTTTGCGATGTTTGAAGAATTCTCCGCTGCGCACGAATCGGTCGACCTCCGCTGCTATGTTCGCATGCATTGAACATTTCACTTTGTTTAATTGCATCTCCCTAAAAATTTAGACCAAAATAATACTCAATTTTATAATATATATATATATGCTAGCTTAGTACAGTACGTCATATATATATATATATATATATATATATATATATATACATACTAGTTTTCACACGCGCTTTGCGCGATTAGACGAATGCCCAATATACATTTTTAAATTAGTGTTCCTTAATTGGTTAAAGTAGTCATATAATAATGAGAGAGAAAATGCTAGTGTTATTGTTGAAGACGATAGGGCCATGTTGGCCAGTTTAGTTAATTGCTCAATTCCTAGGCAGCTTAATGCCATTGCTCATTTTCTCTTGCTGATACTACGGTGACTTTATTTTGAGTCTTTTGCATTAATAATAGTCACCTTTTTGCTTTAAAAAAAATAATGAGAGAGAAAAATGCTAAAATCTCTTATTTTAATAAAAGATATAGAAATTGGAAATAACTAAAGTAACTAAATTAATTCTTCTTAGTGCACTTTCGCTTTCACTGAGGGTCGGAATTATCTTCATCTCTGGTTCGGAATTGTCTTCATCTCTGGTTGTGTCTTTACTTCATCTTGTTTACTGGTAGTTAATTAGAATGATGCGTGCAATGATCATTTAGACAAATGGCCAATGTGTATTTTTAAATTAGTGTTCGTTAATTGGTTAAAGTATTTATATAATAATCCGAGAGAGAAAAATGCTAAATTAATAAAAGATAAAAGAATTTTATGTCTTCCTTCACTTGAATTCTATTATGCTTGATCTTAGGGTGATGAGAAAAGGGGATCGGATAAAGAAAAACAAAAGTTAACTGTATTAGTTGATGGATTATAGATTCTAATGTTTTTATGTAGAAAGATTCTGCATGCATCATGCATATATGCCAGGCAGGCCAGCTGCTTAATTATTATCATATCTAACATGTGGCTTGGTTGGAGGTGGTCAATAATAGTAGCTCAATTACCAGGAAGAACTGATAATGATATCAAGAATTATTGGAACACCAAACTGAAGAAGAAGCTCATGGCAATGATGCTCCTTCCTCTTCATCTGCTTCTTCTTCCAAACACGGATCAGTCATATCATCATCCATGTCGCCACTGTTTTCTGCCGCCCTAATTGCACCTTTTGTTCTTCTTCCCACACCACCTCAACAACAATCCCCGTTTTACACCCCACACAAAGTCATTTTCTGAGCTTGAATCCCCCTCCCTCCACCACCCAGATTTTGGGCATGATCACTGTAACAAGTCTCTCTATTCTTCTTTCAACTTCCAAATGAGCCATCAAGACCAGCAGGCCTTGCTGAACCCCCCTGCACTAATGCAGCAATATCATCACCACCCAGCAGCTATGAATAAGGGTAATCATAATTTGTTGATGTTTGGGGGAAGTGAGGTCAGTGGATCCTCATCATCTGATGGGAGTTGCAGCCAAATCAGTTATGAGAGATAAAAAAATTGCAGACCATGTAAAGCAAGAACCTGCAGATCATCAACTCCTGGGAAAATACAGTTTCCAAGGCGATCCTCATCATCAGATCATTTCTCCAACCAATGCTGGATTCGAAGATGAAAACCAGATTCAAGGAAACTTAGCATTTTAAATAATTGAAATTTCAGGAAATTTAACATATGGAACAAGATCAAAAGCTTAAGAGGCATTACCCTTCTTTAAATCTGTTGTCCAGCATGTGAACTGAAAAACTCCATGTTCTCCTTCACTTCCAAGCTACCTACATCATGAACGTTTCAGTATTCCTCTTACCTAACATTAATTACCCATTTCGTTTAAAGTAAATCATCTATCAACCTTTCCCAAAGCATTGGATTGAACACATACGCCCCTGAGGCCCTGAGTCCCCTGACTATCTGGATTTAATTTGAATAGCTCATTCAAAGCTAAATTAGCCATTTTAATATCACAATGCAGTCTGCAAAACTAAGCAAAGGTGCAAAACATAGAATTTGCCAATAGTATAAGTAACCTAAGCACACATAACTGGCAAGCAACTTCAGAAATTTCAGTAGATTTCACCAATTTCAATATATTTTGTTTGGGTACAACTCTACCAATAACATGTAAATATACCACCTTTCATATGTAATAATTAATAAATAATAGAGAGAGAGAGAGAGAGAGAGAAAAACACACACACACACACACATTTTAGCAAGTCAGTTGCTACATATATTTAATGAACAGTGTGAATGCTCTTTTGAAGTAATATGCTATTTTATAATTGTTGAATCCTTGACCAGACATATCAATATTAAGTTTGCCTTCTTTATATACAGAAAATTCATCAAATGAGAGCAGTAACTTAGCATCTAGTATCTGAAAATCTATAGAAGTTTGATCACGGTTTTTAAACCGATTTCCCTTCGTGACGGTTAATGTGCATTAAAAGTGAAATACCACTATAGGGACTATTACTGGAATCAGTTCAAGAAGAAAGTACATGCTACTCAAGATGAGAACTAATACCATCTTGGATTAATCAGACTCAACTTCAAATAAGCTAGCTAAAATAATACTTTATGGCACTTTGAACAATACCTCAAACTTTTGGAATTGCATTAGTGTAGGGAAAACCCATTTCCGTCTTCTCCCTTCACTGCACGGAAAATTAAGGTACAATTAGAAACTTGAATCAGGCAACAACATAGAGACACATATACCATCATGATTCATTTTGACAAATGTTTGGCATACCAAGAATGCTTTTGTATAATGCAGTCAATGATTACAAATATATATATATATATATATATATATATATATATATATATATAAGAGTTTATAGCATATGTTATATGTACACAAGGGACAATAGAAAGTCTCATCACTTTAAAGGGGATAAATACAAAGGGTCTAAACTGATTGAGTAACGAGGAGTATCAGTTTAAAGAGGTTCTGGAACATAGAAAAATGCTATTCAGATTAGTAAGTTGTTTAGCCAACCTCACGTGAGCAAACAAGGCCTTTGCAATTATAACCAGCATGGATGCAAAGAGGAGGATATTGATCTTAGATTGTAACTCGGAAAAAAAAATGCACTTCTAGGAGCAGGGCCATATCACCACTCACGAAAATCAGTATTAGCATCGCACTCACCAAGGTGCATTTACATCACCACACTGCAACCTTGCTATGTCAGCACTCCATATCTTTAGGGTAAGGTCATCAGCAAGCCAATGAAATCACTGAACAATACAATATGATACTCTTTAAAAATCCAACACACCACCCACACCCCCTAAAAAAAAAAAAAAAATTCTCAAATAGATGTAATTCAATCTCTGCATAATTGTACATAATTGCACACCAGACGCAAAGACCAAATCGGCTTTCCTTTAACTTTAGCTTTGATTCTCCTCACCAAGTAGTCGCGCACGGCTATGCTTCTCCGAATGCTGCCTTGTGTGATTCTCCTCCCTAGTCACGGACGGTCGTGCTTCTCCAAACTGCTGCCCTAATTTGTTGCTTCTCCGCTGGATTCTCTTAATCGCGGTCGGTGTGCTTCTCGTAATTGCCATTCAATTTCCGTAAACTTCAGATTTGCCACCGCGCAACTTCCTTTGATAGAGCCGTTAAATTTAACCGTGTAAGTTTGATAAAATTAAGAAGAATGAGGTTATATTAGGATTTTAAATTGGCATTGTACAATTAGAAAAGCGCAAAGTACAATTTTTTAGAGCATATGTTGTACCGACATTTTTTTAGTTCCCGTTAAGGGTCTAACAATATTCGCTCTTATTAAAGTTGTAGATGTAGATATATATATATATATATATATATATATATATATATATATATATATATATAGTACTATATTTAGCTCATTAATTGTTAAACTCTAAAAAGAACTAATTATTAAGTAATATTAAATAATTAACACAAAAATATTATAAAGATGTATCTAAAATATGAGTGTAAAATATGCCTATCAAATTCTCCCACACTAAAACATTTGCTTGTCCCCAAGCAAAAATATTATTTACGAAGTAAATTGAAATAAAATTTCCAAAACTCATAACATATCATGAACAACAATCTAAAGCACCCTGCAATTAATAAGGTAGCACCCTTGTCTGAAAATTGAGAGAACTAAATAAGTAAGCCCTCACAGGAATATCACTCTTCACTCAAGTGTTTGATGGGTATAAATGTCACTCAAGTTCATTCCTATAAAATTGATCTACCATAGGCTTGCATATCTTCTCAATCACCACTACAAGAGTCATGCATGACACAAATCATAAGGACTTTTCACAGGTTGTAATAATGCGGCTAGGGTTAAGGTATGGAATTTTTTTAGGAAAGTAACTTGCTCAACACAGTCTCAATTTTTCACTCAAAACATTTCCCATCGACATTTCAACCCAACTATCATTCTCAAAAGTATAGAATGCTTCCTCAGTATTACCAGAATTTCCCCTCGCTTCATTTATTTAGAGGTAACTTCAACTCAAAACTAATTGCTGATTCTTTCTTATTTTTCATATAAATTTTCAGCAAACATTTTTTCCTTTTTAACATATATTCATCAATTATCCTATTTCTTCATTTTTTTTGTTCAATTTCAATACATCTTTTTTTTTTTTTTTTTGAATCATGAACTGTCTTCGTTTTCTTTTTCATAGAAGACCAACAACAAATTGGCAATGCAGATACACCCCGCCTCGCTCTCAATCATATTAACAAAAGTAAGTGATCTCCTCCATACTTATTCTTCACAACCTCACGCAGATTACAAGAATAATTCAAAATTTGCTCCACTAGTTTTTCAGTTGGGTTAAGGCATTATTTTTAGATATAAAAGGCTTATAATGTGATTAAAGAAAAAGAAAAGAATGGCCATAAAGCTCAAAGTGGTTAGCAAAGGAAAATAAATCATAGGACAAACCGGTTATTTGGCTAGTGAGGTTCAAAATCAAATAATGGCCTTAATCACACTTGAATCCTGCATGATCTAATTAGCTTTAAAAGAGAATCAAGGCAAGTTCTAGAGAAACAAAGTTATGGAAGAAATCACACAATAGGAAGAAAAATAGACCGAAGTGTCAGTCAATGGCTCAAAACACTCACAGGTTTATTGCTTACTTAATATAGTCACCACATATCAAACAAGAAATGCTAACAAACTGATCACAATTTGCCAAACTATTTATTCAATCACATTATGAATTTCAGGAAAAGAAAATATAATTTTTTTTTCAAAATAATACTTATTTTGCATAAAATACTAGTAAAATATTTGTGAAAATTTTTGAAAATTTTGACATAAGCAAACAAATAATAAAACTAAATTCCCTCCCCCACACTTATTATCAACATTGTCCCCAATGTTGAATAAAAATGCACAGAAAAAGGGTTATTGAATGAGAATAAGGAATAAAAGAAAAAGAATCGAACAAACACACCTTAGGTTGCCTCCCAAGCAGCGCCTTTGTTTATCGTCGTTGGCTCGACTCATGATATTGCTTTAGATTTCCATCATCTTTTTGAGTACCTTCGATGATTACGATTATTCAAAGAAATACTCTCTTCATCCAGATTAGTGGTCAAAAATGATTTATTATTTTTTTTTTCATTCGAAGCAATTGCATCAAATTTAACAAACTTCAAAGAATCAACAAAAATTGCAAAATTTTCGTCACTAGGAAATTTCATGGTATCATAAATATTAAAACTTACAAATTTACCATTAAACTCCATTGTAAGCATACCACTATGAATATCAATTTTTGTTTTTGCAGTTTTTAAGAATGGCCTTCCTAACAAAATATGAGAAATTTTATTATCATTTTCCATATCAAGCACATAAAAATCAGCAGGAAAAATCAAGTTATTAACTTCAACAAGCAAATCCTCAATCACACCCCTAGGGAATGTAGTAGATCCATCAGCCAATTGAATTACAATACTAGTTTTATTCAGGGGTCCAATATTTAAAGAATTATAAACAGAATATGGTATGACATTGATAGAAGCTCCTAAATCTAACATAGCATTTTCAAGTTTCACACCATTTATCATGCATGAAATAGTAAACATACCTGGATCTTTGCACTTTTCAGGAAGATTGCTTTGACTAGATATAGAGGCATTATCTTGCACTTTCAGTTCCTCAACTCCTTTATTTTGTTTATTTTTCAAAGTGGATAACTCTTTTAGAAAATTCGCATAGCGAGGTATTCTTTTCATAGAATCTAAAAATGGTTTATTAGCCTCACATTCACGAAATGTCTCATACATATCATTATTTGAGTTTCCTCTTATTGGTTCTAAAAGAGCTTGAGGAAATGGGGGTACTGGTTCATAATCAGAAAAAGAAGAACGCTTACCTTGGGACTTCTCTTTATTATTGGCAATGTTACCTGCACTTATTTCCTTGTCTAAATCAACATTCTTTTCCATCGACATACTTCTCATAGTAATTGCACTTACATTCTCTTTAGGATTAACAACCGTTTGAGAGGGTAATTTGCCAGAACTCTGTGCTTCCAACCGACTTACCGTAGTTGCTAGTTGACCCATCTGTCTTTCCAAGTTCGTAATACAAACCTTTGTTTCTTGAATACTAGCTCTTGTTTTTTGAATACTAGCTCTTGTCTCTTGTTGGAATAGTTGTGTTTCTTGTTGAAACTGCAAAGTGTTAGTAGCAAGAGATTTAACAATATCTTCTAGATTCATACCTGAGCTAGAGCTTTGGGCTGGCTGTTGTTTTGAAGGAAATGGTTGTCTGTACTGCTGAAAATTGGAACGATTCTGAACAAACTGGTTCCCTTGTGAGTTCCCATAGCTAAGGTTTGGGTGATCCCTCCATCCAGGATTATATGTATTGGAAAATGGATCATACTTACCTTGAGGTTGTCCAGGAAGACCTCCAGCCATGTTGACTTGTTCAATAGGTTCTTCTTGAAGAGTTGGGCAGGCGTCAGTTTGGTGCCCAACTACCGAGCAAATTCCACATGCGTTTACAGATTGCATATTGCCTACAGCTAATTGACGAACAAGAGTATAGTAGTTAAACTTGAAATTTGTTGTTCAAGAGCAGAAATATTTACCTCGTTCACTTGTTTCAACGGTTGGATAAGTCTATTGCCAAACTGTTGAGAATTTGCAGCCATGTTTGCAATTAGAGTTCTTGCAGCGTCTGGTGTCTTGTCAACTAACGCACTACCGCTTGTGGCATCAATCATGCTTCTATCCATTAGAAAAAGTCCTTCATAAAAGTATTGAATGAGTAATTGATCACTAATTTGATGGTGTGGGAAGCTTGCACAAAGTTTCTTGAAACGCTCCAATATTCATACAATGACTCTCCATTGTTTTGCCTTATACCACAGATTTTCTTTCTAATGTTGGCCGCCCTTGAAGTTGAGAAATATTTTTCAAGGAACATTGTCTTCAAGCTATTCCATGTGGTGATGCTCCCAGAAGGTAGATAGTATAGTCAATCCTTCGCTGAATCTTTCAACGAAAATGGGAAAGCTCTCAACTTGATTTGTTCTTCAGTAACCCCTGTGGGTTTTATACTTGAACACACCACATGGAATTCCTTTAAGTGTTTGTGAGGATCTTCACCTGCAAGTCCATGAAAAGAAGGTAAAAGATGTATTAACCTAGATTTTAATTCAAATTGTATATTAGCATCTAGATTGGGAAAAGTGATGCATAAAGGTTGCTGATCCAGATTTGGAGCTCCAAGCTCTTTTAATGTTCAATTTTGAGTCATGGGTTCCTCTTCTAAATCAGAATTGGTAGAATCGGTAGCCAAATCGCTAAACTCTAATTTCCTCAAAGCTTGTTTCCTCCACCTGCGTATAGTTCTTACAATTTCTGGATCGTACGGCAAGATTTTTTGATTAGCAGATCGAGTTATATGCATAAATAAATAGAAAATATATTGAAGCAATTATGTAAAAGTAATGAAAGAAAAGAAAAAAAAATTTTGATAAAAAAAACAAAAACAAACAAATAAATAAATAAACACAAAATAAACAAGAAAATCTCCCCGGCAACGGCGCCAAAATTTGACGAGCTGTCATAGGCTCCCAAATTAAAACCTTACAAACGTAGTAGCGGGAGTAAGGATCGATCCCACGATTTAACTTTTGTGCTTAAGGAAACGATGAGGGATTTGGAATATAACGAGAATAAAGATTAAATAAATGAGAATTTAAATAAACAAGAAATTTAAATGAACGAATAAAGCAATGAAAATAATATATTGAAAGCACTTATAATAGAAAACCTTAGTTAGTAAAGATCCACCACCAAAATTTAACATTGATCATTGATTCAAAAAGTAATTAATATGCAATTGAATA